TGGCTCTCCTGGGGACATCTCACTATAGATATCTTAGTACAGTGCTCAGGCAAGATCACTCTTTCCTAACCCTAGCAGGGTTTTATCTAGTTGTACTTTTCGGATCGTGACAGAATTTGTCATGACCATGCTCTTAAATTATAGTTAAGTATTATGGCACTTTGGCATGGCCCATTTCAATGCTATGGTAGCTCACAGCTTGTCCTGGATCCATCCAATCCCTCCTCAGGATCCTCTTTTGGGGATATCAAAGCCCTTCCTGATCACCAATCAGGTGCAAGGGCAGAAATACCACCTTCCTATGGGTGTTTCTCCTCTCCTTAGTCCAATAACTTAATTAACATTTTAATAAGGTAAAGGTAAAGGCCCTCCCGTTGATCATCGATTTGCTTGAGCGGGCCCAGTAACGTCTAGGAAGTAAGGGCAATTGAGGCTTAAGTGGAGAGAACAGATGTTCAGGAGTGAATATCATTCTGAGTCAATTAACTCCCAAGTTACAAAAGCATAGCATTAATTGTCTTCCTGTGTCTATACAGAAAAGGATACTGCTCTGAATTAACTATCCAAAGGACTTAAGGAGAAGAGAAAAGCAATATTTACAAGTTAACAGAGTCTGATTAGGAGATTAAGGTAATTGACCAGCTGGGGAAGCAGAGCACAAAGAAAGAGGTTACAAATAAACATAGGGAAATGGGAGCACTGTGATGGGAGTAACCCAATAACCCGAAGCTCCCTGTGGCAAGGCAGAAAGGACAAACCAATGTTATCCTACATCCCTCTATTTGAGAATACTTCTAGAGCTCATTTGCTGCTGCTATGTCCAGACCACAGCCACATGACCTCACATAGCTGCAAGAAAGGCTGGGAAGTGTCTTAAAATTTGGCACTGCCAAATTTTAGAGTTCTACTTCTGAGATATCAAAGATAAGGCTACATATGAGGGATCAGTTAGTCTCTGCCACATACTAGAGAGTCAGGTGAAACAGTGAGATTACTTCTCTCTGGATCGTCTAGGAAAACTTTCTGAATGATGGAAAATATGAGTTAAGGATTTGGGCTTTGACTAATGGATTTCTGAGAAATAAGTAGTCTATAATCATGATTCTGTACTGTATGCTGTGCTGTTGAGAGATTCACAGGGGCTTTTCTGGTTAATGCCAAGGGTAGCCTAGCCATACTTTGGCAGTGGTTATCAGATGAAATATGAGCTTGCGGTAATTCAGTTTAAACTTTAGACTAAGCTATTGTGGAAGGCTGGTTTCAGGTAGGCTCCCTGGAGTGAATGAGAAGCCTGGGGAATTCCTTTTCTGTGTGGTCAGCTGCCTCTAAAGGGAGACCTGTGTCAGACCTCTAAAGGCACTAACAGCCTGCATTCAAGTCAGCTTGATCTGTGCAGCCTGGGAGTTTGTTCCTCCCCTCCCAGAACCTAGGTCTCAGGAGAGCTCAGGAGTATTAGTTGGAATGAGATTTTATTCTTGAGGTTTGAAAGATTGGGAAGTGAGCAGCCTTAGCCCACTCACCAGGTCTTTTGCCTTTGGAGAAAGAATTCAAGGAGAGAGGACATATTTAGAAAGAAAAGTATTTATTGAATTGTATATGGAGTGGGTGTACTCTTGAGGGAGAGTCCAGCCTGCTGGACTTTGGAATAAGGATTTTATAAGGGTGAGTTAGCTACAATGTTAACTCATTGTATTCAAGAAAGGGTTGGGCTAATGCATTATGGTAGGTGTATTGGGAATCTCATCAGACAACTTGGTGGGACAGAGTGGGGGAGGATGAGTTAATATCACTTTGGTCTTAATGAAGGAAGGTAAAGTTAGGGTCAGAAGTTAAAATATTTTTGAGAAATTTTGGTTTATAATAAAATATTATTGTTTATGTTTTGAAACGAAATTTTATGACTTTAAGTTCCTAATAGGAAGCATGAGTGAGTATGGAATTGTACTAATAGTCCTAGTAAAAGCTAGTTAGGTTCATTTTCATATATTTCCCTAAAAGGGAAATGTTTTTACATTTTTCCAAAATACATTTTCTAGTCCAAGTACTTTTTGATGATTCAGTAATAGACTTTGTAAAGTACATGCCATTAAAAACAAAGTAGTTATTTGCATAATTATGTACAGATCAATTGTTTATATAATTAAATTCATTCATTTATTCAATAGATATTAATCCATTTCTGATTGTGTTCAAATGTTGTTCCAGATGTTGGGCATACATTGAAGAGAAAAGGATTCTATTTACATAACTATAAGGAGAAACAACTGAGTTAGTAATTATATGTACTATGATTATATTTTCACAGAAGAAAGAGGACATTTGGTTTCCTTCTTCTAGTGATCTGATGCATATTTGTAGATTCTTCAAGTTTATAGTGCACATTATACTTCTACTTTGGTTTGAATATTGCTGAAACTTTTGCTTCTCTTTCTTCTAATGTAAATATATTTCTAATAATTTTTTGTCCTCTATTTGGTTATTTAAAAATTTTTTTGAGTCTTTTGTAGAGTAATTATGTATTGTAGCAAGAATAAGTTAGTTTTGCCTGCTAAATTTTCTATCAGGCTAAGTCCTTTAAGGAAAAGAGAAACATGGCATTTTCTTGGGCTGGGGAGATAGCAAGCTATTGAGCACATGACTAGCATGTGCTGGTACTTGAGTTTTAATCCCTGGAACTATGTGACCCCTTGAGCAATGCTGGTTGTATCTCTGGTGACCCCTGAGCACTGCATTGTCTGGCCTGTTCTGCTGGGCCAAACATTGGGTGGCTCTTCTTAAAACAGTGATTTTCTTAAGAGAACCCATACTTTAATATATAAGGACATGACCACTACATATGATAATATATTAAATATGTAAATACTTATTCATGCAAATTCATTGGTCTCCATATCAGGAGTTGGGAAACTTTCTGGCAGGAGCTAGAGAACAAATATTATAGGGTCTGTGGACTGTAAGATTTTTGAGATGCTTAGTGTTACTAGAGGGGAATGGCAGCTTTATGTAATAACTAAAACAATATTTGTTGTATTTATTATATTTTCAAGAACTCCTTGTTGAATAAATGGAATAATTAAGTTAATTCTTTTGTTCTCACTGTTGAAGTTTCACATTTGCTTTTTATGAATACATTTCATTTACACCTGTGAAAGGGCATCACTTACTAATGTTTGCGTTGTAATCAATGAGCAATTTCAGACCTCACATTGTATTGTTAGTGTCATGTCTTCTTACAGACCAAATGGTAGATGAACTGTGAGAGATTTTACATTATTTCATAGATAAATTGGGTGTAGCGGGAAATAGACAAATCAAGTTATTAGCCTAGGAGCTGACACTATGCTCAAGCTAATATCATATGTGCTTTAAAATGCAGTATCTCCTGAACAATTCTTAAAATTAGAAAGGATGTCATTGCATCAAAGTATATGAGGTTATCGCTGCTCATTTGTGTAGAATAGAAATTGATTCTGAGGTAGAAGCAATAAAGCAGGAAGAAAGCCTCATATATGTCTTGTAGTTCAAGAGAATCCATCAACATTGTCTTCTTTGTAGGAAATGACCAAGCACAGGGCCCTTCTATTGGGACAATTTTGTGATTATGTCAAACTCTTATGTCATAAGTCAGTCACTTGAAAAATTGGATTTATATAACAAGAAGAATCAACAAGATTTGATAATACATGGTGGCAAAGGGATGATGATAGAGAAGGGAGAAAATTCTGGTCTCTTGGAGTTTTGTTAATACTAATCTGGAAGTCAGAAGAATCAGTTTGCATATAGAGCTAGAAAAAGTGATTAGCTTAGTTTTCAGTATGCTGAGAAGAGATGCTGTTAGCCACTAGGCATAGGAAACACATAATTTGTGAGAAAGTTCAAGGCTCAAGAGAGATTTATATGAATGTTTCACAGAGGTTAAAGCTTGCTTTCTGAAACTGTTAGAGAAGGGAATGCAAGGAGAGCCAGAAGTCCAAGAGAGAACCATGAGAACACCTTCATTAAGGGACAAAAATGTTTCTCCTAATGAGTGACTAATCACTTCTAGTTCTATCTCAGAAGCTCTAGAAAAAAAAATCACTGAGATATCCATTTGTTATAAATGAATTTTCAGACATTGTTTCTGGCAAGTGATTGAACTAAACACAAATTTAGACCATTTGAAAAGGACTTTATCTGAGCTATGTCACTATGATACCTCATCAACCTTTTACAAACAGACATAGGGAAGTCTTGAGAGACTATCAGCATTTGACTGGCCAATCGAACAGAATCTTTCTCATTGTTCAACTTGTCACTAACTACATGGCCAGTAACATTAAAGCTTGCTGAGTTATTAATGTTGAAAACTTAACTTATCCACATTTGTGAAAATCTGGGTTAGGACTGAGACAAACATTGAAGTCTGGATAATGTCCTGTCTATACAGGTACACTGATACTTTATTATCTATACTTTAGGTAGTCTTTGCTTATAGTTTGGTGCTAAGCTGAGTCCTCACCACAGTAATTCACAGTACAATACAATACAATGATGCTAAATTAGCAGTTTTTTTTATAATCACAATTGAATGCTATGAAAAGTAAAGTTTATCTCAGCAATCAGCAGTGAGTATATGCTCTGTAATGCAATGATGTGTAGATAAAAAAGTTTAAACTAATATGATTTGGTGACTAACTTTATCTTGCTCTTAAGGTACTCATAATAAAAACTTTTGGGGGCCAAAGAGATAGTACAGTGGGTAGGGCACTTGCCTTGCACAGGGCTGACCTGGGTTCAATTCCTGGCATCATGTATGGCCTCCAGAGCCTGCCAAAAGTGATCTCTGAACATAGAGTCAGGAGTAAGCCCTGAATACCATGTGTGGCACAAAACCAAACCCAAACAAAATCTTTTGGAAATATTACTATTAGGAATGAATAGCTGCCCTCTCAAATATCATGCTGTATGTGGATGTTATTCACAATACTACAGTTATATTTCTTTTTCATCCTCTATTTTAGGTCTTGGGAGCTGATGACAATAATGTGAGTGGTGACTGCTCTCAGAAGCTGGTGACTGCTAACATTCTCCGTTTCCTACTGCTGGTCCTGATTCCATGCATCTGTGCACTCATCGTCCTATTGGTTGTCCTGCTTTCCTTTATGGGTGAGTCGAAGCCATTATTAGAGAAAAACAAAAATAAGATAAAAAAATCAAGATTTCTGAGTTTCTTCTACTTTGTGCTTATTTAAATTTTGAGCTTATTTGTGCTTATTTAAATTTATTCAGTGAAAAAATTCTCTGTTGACTGCCAAATACAAACTTACGGTTTCCATCATCATTGTCACTGTACAAGTTATTATCACTAATATGAATTAATAAATTAACTCATTCAAAACATTTAGAATTGAATTCTAGGTAGTAGGTATTTTGAAAATTGCTCAACTCAAGGGTGGTTAAATTAATCTTATTTCTTAATAATATTAAGAATCTTAGGATCTCACATTTGAGGGGACTAACTGATTATTCAGGGAACAAATTTTAATGAGAGAGGTACATAAATTTGGGGACAAGGAAATAGAAAATAGAGATGAATTCAGGACATTGCTTGAAATTTGGCAGTGGTGGGAAAAGAAGCTAGACCTATAAAGTCCAAATGATACCAGATCTTACATATCATACTAAGAGATTTAGGCTTTAGCACGGGTTATCGGTTTTCAAATTCTATTCCATAGAACTAAGATTTTGAGGGAACTCAAGGATCAAATATTTGCTTTGATTTCCCATTATTACTATTATTGCATTTCTGGGACTAAAACTCAGTGCCTCGCATATGCATGTCATGTACTACATAATGGAGCAATAATCCTGACCCCCTGACATTCTATTTTTTTTTCTTTTTGGGTCACGCCTGGCAATGTACAGGGGTTACTCCTGGCTCTGCACTCAGGAATTACCCCTGGCGGTGCTCAGGGGACCATATGGGATGCTGGGAACCAAACCTGGGTTGGTCATGTACAAGGCAAACGCCCTACCCGCTGTGCTATTGCTCCAGCCCCCTGACATTCTATTTTTAAAAAGTAGATTTTATTTCAGCTGTAATGAAGTATTACATACACATTTTTTCTAAGCAGAAAACAAAGTAATTTGTGCTGTTAGATGAGTTTATTTGTATTTAGATATGCTATCTATCTTTAGATGATCAATATACCAAGTTTAAAAGGTGAATTGTTGGAGGGAAATCCCAAATCTTATTGTGATTATTTACCAATTGCTATTAATTCACATTTTCTAAACTGTGTGCTGTCAAATAAAACAGAAACAAATAGCTATGTTGATTTAATTATTTAATTATTTAAAAAACAATGTTGATTTATTTATCAATCATATCTATTTTTTCACTAAAGCTATTATTTTGTCATTGGTTACTTTATAGGTGGTATGTTTAAAGCCCCTAAATTAATAAAATTAATAAACTAGAGCTCATATCTATTTGTAAATATTAAAATCTTATGTGAAGTTCATTTGAAAATAACACATTACTGCTACAAAAATGTTTAAAAGCCACTACTTGGGTTGATAGTTTATCATTGGAAGACCTTCCAGGCAGAAAGAATTCAGGTTATATTTGCATTTTCAAGTGACATATCTGAACATAAGCTACTGAGGACAAGAGAAAGAAACAAATGAAGTCAGAGAGGAAAAAAAATGGGCTTCATGCAATAGTCTAAGAGAGACTTGAAATGAAGCATTTAAAACATTAGAAGCAACAGAAATTAGGATTGATTGGATTCTACCCTCAGGGAGGTAGAGTCCAGGTTGACTCCTAGAATTCTGATTTGGACAACCAGGATGATTTTGGTGCCATCAGTTACTGTACAAAGTACATGTTTTATTATTTTTGTCTTTCTTGTTTCAGTTTGGTCAATCCCAGTGGTGCTCAGGGTTTTCTCTTGGCTCTAATGCTCAGGGATTACTCCTGGTGGTTACTTGGGGGATGGCACTTGGTTCAGCTATTTTTCAGACAATTGCTCTATCTGTCCCACAATCTCTCTAGCTCAGAATGTACATGTCAAATTAGTGATACCTGTGGAATCTCCAAATACAGTGAAATCATAGTTTAAGTGTCTTCTATCTTGACCAATTTCAGCAGTATAGACTGGGCCAAGAAATGGAGAAATATAAGAACTCCCACATGCTGTATTCCTAAGATAAATTGTAATATGGTTTGAATTTTGGCTTATGTGCTGATATTAGAGTATAACTCCCCATTCACTGTTTCTGGTCTGATGCTAGAAGTCTCCAGAAGGGAAATTGGGAAGGGAGTCCTGAGGAGATTAATGAAGTTGGAAGTCTCAGGGTTGTTGAAAAAGCACAACTAGATGAACTGTGAAGAGTGTCCTGGTGAAAAGCTATGGAAAACCACCCAGATGATGCTAGTTTTTAAGAGACAAAGAACCAGGAGGGAGTAAGAGATGCAGGAAGAATGGTCAGAGGAATGGAAGGTGCTTCACAGAGATGCAGGTTCTGCATTGGGTGTTGAGTTGCCTGGCCTCACATGCTGCCTGTAGCCTGCTTTCAGGTGAATGCATGAAAAAAATACCTAGAAAAAGACCTGATTGGGTTTTTTTTTTGGTGTGTGTGTGTGTGTGAGTGTGTGTAGCATTTTTTGTTTTTGTCCAAATTTGTAGTTTTTACCTTGAGTACAGCTCCATCTAATAGAATCTCCCTCAGTCACACTGACGTCATTTTTAAAAGTCTATTTCCCTTAACACTTCATTTTCTTCAAATCTAAGTGTTGAGTGTTAAAAAATTTAAAGGACACTGTTGAGTACTCCAGTACTTAGAAATCTTTGAGCACAGTAAAAGAGATACCATAAGAATAATGCATTAAGTAGGTTTCCTTCCTTCCTTCTTTCCTTCCTCCCTTCCTTTCCCTTCCTCCCTTCTTCTTCCTCTCTCTCCCTCCTTCCTTTCCTCATCCTCCCGTTATTCTCCCTGCCTCCCTCCTTTGCTCCCCTCTTTTCTCCCTCCTTTCCTCACTCCTTCCTTCCCTTCTTCCCTCCCTCCTTCCCTCCCTCCCTCCTTCCTTCCTTCCTTCCTTCCTTCCTTTTTTACTTCCTTTCCCTTGTTACATTTTCTTTCTTTGTTTCTTTCTTTCTTTGTTTCTTTGTTTCTTTCTTTCTTTCTTTCTTTCTTTCTTTCTTTCTTTCTTTCTTTCTTTCTTCGTTTCTTTCTTTCTTTTTATCTGCTTTTTTTTCTTGTATGGTAATCTTTTATAGCTTTACTAGAATACAATAAATATACTATAAAATTTACTCATTTAAACATGTAGTTCAGTAAATTTAAAATACTCATGAACAAAGGCAAACATCATCACAATTTTAGAATATTTCATCACTTCAAGAAGAATTTCTATACCAGTTAGTTATTTCCAATTTTACCACTTCCTATTTTTCCATATTTATCTCTACCCCAACCTTAAGCAATTGTTAATCCCCTTTCTATCACCAGATTTCTCTCTCTGGGGAGAAATGTGGCCCTGGATAGAGAGATGGTCATTTGTGACTGACTTGTTTTGCTCAGCATGCTATTATCAAGGTTCATTCATATTGTATTATGTATCAGTACTTCATTATAATATTATTCATTACTCAATATTTATTCATTATTATGACTAAATGTTCGATTTGTTTGTTCAGCTGATAATGGATATTTGAGTGATTTCATCCTTTGGCTAGATGTTACTTTGAACTTTCACATGCAATATTTTGAGTATGTGGACATCTGTTATATTTCTTTTGTTAATGTTTTGTTTTGGGGCCACCCCACCTGTGCTTGGGGCTTGCTCCTAACTCTATGTTCAAGGATAATTCCTGTAGTATTTTGGGGAATATATAGGTGCAGGGCTTGAATCTGGGTCTTCCCATACAGGACAGATGCCTTACCTGTTTTGCTATCTATCTGGCTCCCAGGGAGAAATTTTTGTCTTCATGTGTAGTCTTAGGAAGAATAAAATTCATAATCATGCCTAAGTGCTCTATGGCTTATATGCAGATAGCCTTTAGGAAGTGGGGTGGGGGGCTGTCAGTCAGCATCTTCCAGGCCCCAGAACATGATGCTGGCAATGCACGGCACCTCCAGCAGGGCAGAAATAACCCTGGTGACCCTTGAGTACTACTAGGAATGGATCCTATAAAATATAAACCCTAGGGCTTAAGGCACTTACCTTTTAGGCATTCAGCTCTGACTCGATCCTTGACACCACCTATGGTCTCCTGAGCACCAGGGGGTGTGATTCCTGAGCAAGGAGCCAGGCATAAGCCCTGAACACCACTAGACACCAAATATTCCCCCAACCCCTGCAAATGTCAGGGTGGATTGCCACAGGCCCAGGGTATAGTGTTGAATAAATCCTTTCCTTGTGGATGCTACAGTTCAAGAAAGAAGGAAGGCATCAAACCACAGGATCACACAATGACAGAGGCAAAGGTGGGTGAAAGGACAGGGAGGGTTTTAGGTGGGGAGCTTAATAGGTGGGAGCAGAGGTTGGCCTTGCTACCTGAAAGAGGGCTGCTCTCATCATAAACACCAATTCTTAGCAGCCTTGCTGCGCTAAGGAGGACGTGACCAGTTGGAACTTAATTCTACAAGGGCGATATTTAAATCTCAGGGGCCAAGGTCACTCCCAACTATGCTCAGTCTGCTCTGGACTTGGTGCTTAGGTACAATAGGGTGGAGCCTACAGTGCTTGTGCGTCAGGGACTGAACTCAGGGTCTTGCGTTTCTCACTTGAGCTATCGGCCGGCCTAGTCCTAGTGGGGTTGCAGAATGATACCTTTAGCACCAGTGTGGACATAGGCCAAAGATTGTAGAGTCTGTGGCAGGGAGTGGATGGGGTGTTTCTGCTAGAGTCCTGCAAATGTAGTGCTTTGGGGATATGGTCTGCACTGATTTTTGCCAACTATTACACTTCTCAACTCAATTTATGCTCTACAAAACTCATTTCTTTTTGGCATTAAAGACTTTTCCACTCATCTACATCTAAAATAAAATTTATTTGTTTTGGTAATAAACTTATGAACTGCAAGATTGCATTTCCAATTTTAATAAAATTTCAAATGGTCTTCGTGTGGCCTGTTAATTTTTATTTCTGTGACAGCATG